CTTGTTTTTTCTTTCTTTCTCTTTTTCTTTCCCTCCATCTTTTTCCTATTTCCCCTCATTTTATAACTCCGATAGTCATCACTTGTCGTCAACCACCCAAATCCCATTCTGTAATCGTGTCGTTCGTGGCTCCACACCCCACCTACAACCACTACCACCAACGAAATTACACCATTACCACCCCCATAGAGACCCTAATTCCATCCAAACCCTACTCCATAATCACAAGAAGAAAGAGAGGAAATGATAAAGGTAGGGATTGAACATATAGGGAAGAGTTCACCGATGATGGGGCTTAAGTAATGTAGGGGTTCGACAGTGTTTAAAGTTTATAGGAGATCTTAACATGAATGGGTATTGATTGTAACAGTAGCATTGGAAGTGTGTAGAAGTCATGGATGGCCATGGGCAAAGGTCATAGAGGTAATTAAAAGAAAGGGGAACGGTAATTAGGGTTTGTAAGGAAGGATTGAAGAGAAAAGAGGAGCAAAGATTGAGAAAAGGTAAGAGGTTGGAAAGGGGCGAAAAGGATTGAGAAGGAGCTTGCGATTGTGAAGGAATGTTGGCAACGAGGAGGGGCAACGATGAGGAAGAGGCTAGCAATAGCGAGGGAGATGGAGATGCGTTACCAGAACTAGAAAAAGTAAAGGGGGCTGCTGGCAAGTTTTTAAAGAGAAGAGAGGAGACAAAGGAGAAGGCTATTTTGGTAATTTTACATAATTTTTCATGTCTTCGCAAAAAAATTTTAAGCTTTGATTAGGAAATTCTATTTTCACACACTTACCTATCTCTGTGTACATACTTAATGATTTATTTTTTTATTACAATTTTCTCCTCAAATAAAATTACCAAAGTATCCTTATCTTCTCCACCAAAACTCTAATTTTTTCATCCCCTTTAATAGCTAGTTGCAAATTCTCTTCATAACAAACACAAGTTCGCTTTCTACCATAGTAACCACCGTTACCGCTATATTTTCCGAAGACAACTTGCAACCAACACTCCTGCCCACTGTAACCATTGTAATCAAAATCCAACCTCTATTTTTGTCATTTAATGTTTCACTGCAATCAATACATACATGTGTGTGTATATGTGTGTGTATTTGTGTATGGGTTGTGCTTCAAACCCCCAGTGGGGGTCAACCTCCAGTGACGTGGCGTACTGGGGTTGGCCAAAAATAAAAAATAAAAAAAACAGCTTTTTCTGGGCCAATAGGAGCCGACCCCAGCACCCCCAGCTGGGGGTCTAAGGCATTTTTGATTTGTGTATATTGTGCCACCACCACTGTTGTTGGCCTCGCCACCAAACACCACTGTTTTACCAAATCAAAAAAGCAAACCCCCAAATTAGATCTTAAATCAAATATATGGATATAACCAAATAAAAACAGACCAAATCAAAAAATCAAAAACAACACTTACAAATGGGTGTTGGTTTAGGGTTTCAATGAAGAGAGAGATATTTTTGACAAATAAGATTGTGCATTGAGTAAAATTACAAAATTCAAAGTTAGTTAGTATATGTATTGAGAGAGGATGTGAAATGAGATGTTTTGGTGTATGAAAATAGAATTACCCGCTTCCATTATGTCATAGGTTTTGAAAGGGTGATTCTACTTACACTCTCCATATGAGTTTCTTTTTCCCCCCCAATTTTATCCATGTGTGAAATTATCTTTAAGGACAAAACACTAAAATTAAATTATCTCCCTACACCCCTTAGTCTTCAATCTCTACTCCTCTTTTCTCTTTCTTAATTTTTCTTTTCAAAAAGTAAGAATCATAGTATTTTTATCAATAAATAAAGCAATGGATGAAGAAACAGTGGTGAATAACCATAAAAAAGTGAAATTGTGAGTTTTTTTTTAAATTTATTTGGTAGGCTTTTGTTTCGTTTTTCTGAACTGGTGTTCGACTTTCATTCGGTGGTTCGAAATCGAACAAAATAAAATAGTTCGGCATCACATTGTCGAACAAAAAATATAAGTCTGATAACCAACTACCGAATAAAAGATACATTTTCAGTAACCCCAAACTGAGTTTTTTTAATTTGTTCGGCTTCTCATTACCATGTATTTTTAGTTTTATTTTTTTATATTTTTTATTTTTTTGCCTGGAAGAATTATGCTTATACTCATTGCAACAACACAAGTACTGTAATATTAGTGGACTCTAGTCATGAATTCATTACAGATGATGTTTGTTTAGTTTTTTTTATGAATACGATTTTTTCTTATTTTTAATTTGTATTGAATTTTATTAATAATTTGACATATAAATGTATTTATTATCTTTACTTTTTTAGTAGTCGTGAATCATTAATTAAGTGGACTTCTGACGTTGGGAAGAAGACTGGATTTGTCATTATTATAAAGACATCAGATGCGAGAGGTAATGATAGAAAATCAAGACTTACACTTGCTTGTAAAAGAAGTGGTTACTAGAGACAACAGAGAGATCAAGGGGGAACGATTGAGGTTGACAAGTTCTAAAAAGTGTGGATGTCTATTTCTATTAAGGGGAGAAAAATTACCAAGACGAATTGTGATAACATGTTTGATTGATGGATGCAAACAATAACAGATTTTATAGATACTTTATGGATTCGTACACTTGATGTTTTTATGAATAACTTTATGGATACTTTTTATGTATGATTTTATAGATGCGTGTTTGATTTATGAATTTTTTTGTGGATGCTTCAACGAAAAAGTAAATATTTCAATGTACAGCGACGGAGGCCTAGACAACTCTATTGTAGTTTGGCAACATGACATTAGAGTAATCTCATTTGTATAACAATGTATCACTGAACATGCAGTTCACAAATAGCCCAAATTAATTTCTTGTTATCATCTAATTGGACGACAACATAATACTGGGAAAAAAATATTGTCCGATAATATGGCATTGGAGTAATTCAAATTAATTAGCGTTGTATTACTGAACAGACCCACCATAAATTAAAAAATCATTGTTTGAAAGAAAGTGTCTCTGTAAATGTATAGCAACAAAATACTGGAGAGATCTATTTTTTCCGGCTGCATAACACCGGAATAATGTAAATTGTTTAGCACTGTGTTACCAAAATTAGTGGTGTAAAGAGATGAAATAGTTAATTTATGGTTAGTTATGGTAATATATTGGAGGTGTAATGAGAATTATTTTTTTTAGTGATGTAATGAGATGAAAAGTGTAAAGAGGTTAAATAATAATGTAAGTAGAATTTTTAATACCCTTACTGAATTGCAATATTTATTTGGTCTTATTTTACAACAAAATTTCCTTTCATTTATGTAAGTACAAAGTGTCATGTTACAAACAATTTTTCTCTACTTTTTTCCACATGAAATATAGTTTTATTGCCAAGTTTTATGTTGGATAATATTCACTTTGTTTGATTTCAATTTTTTAAAATTGGGTTTTTATTTTTCGTATTTTTTTTTGTTTTTAGTTAATATTTTTAAAATGTTAAGTAATTTTTTTACTTTTTATATGCACTTTGCTTAGATATACCTAAAAAGTAAAATATTTATAAAAAATATTTTAAAAAATCAATAATTACACAAGAATACAAAAATGTACTGAATTTTTATATTTTTCTTATATTTTTGGTATTTAGTGATTGTGTTTTTTAAATTCCACAAATATTATATTTTTTAAGTGTATTTATGTTAAGTGTATCTAAAGATTAAAAAAATTGTTTAAAATATTAAAAAAAATTAGTGAAAACAAAAAAAATACAAAAATAAAAAAATTCAATTTTTTGAAAAGTGAATCTTGAAAATTAAAACCAAATGTTTTCACCTTTGTATAGAATAATTTAGGCTTTAATTTGTGCTTAGTTTTAAAATTGTTTATTCATATAAAAAATTATATTTTGCAATGTTGAAGTAATAATATCTTATAATCCTCAATTCAATGTTATGATCTAATCTTACAAACCTTTCCAACGATCATAAAACCCTAATTTTGGGAGCATTGGTGTCAACATCATGACCAATTTTGGGAACATTTTTGGTGTCAACATTATGACCATGATATGGTTGTCCTAAATACATGTTTTTAGTGCCACAACCGAGCAAGTTTTGAAAAAAAAGAAAAAGAAAAAGAAAGAAAGAAGAAGAAGATGAAACCGAGCATTTGATTTTGAAGAATTAGTCATTACAAAATCCTAGGATTTTTTTTAAATTTTTTTATTTTGGAACTTCCACACAAACAATAAACTTCGCTAACTCAATTATATATTCTTAATTAAGGTGTCAATGAGTTAATCCTTACTAATTATTTCTTTCCCATTATCTAGTCTTTCTTTAGTTGTTTAGCTTTTTCCTCGCTTGCAAGTATGTATTATTAAACTTTTTTTAAACAATTAATTGCTAGATTTAACATATTTATCTTGATATTAGTAAAATATAATCTTCTTCTACCCATTAAAAAGGAAGGAATTGCAACACAGTCTAAAAAACCAAAATTTATTATAGTATATAAAACATGGGTGCAACTCTCATTATGCAAAAAAACTCACAGAAAAAGTTGTACTCCCATCTCTTTATAATTACTTTTGTTCATCTAAATTGATTAATAATTTCTCCTTTAAAAAAAGAAAAGAAAAATAAAAACAACAACAACAGCACACTTGATAATCATTTGACTATTGAGTGAATTATTAGGGGAGTGGTAAGAGGTGTTCAAAAGTTTTCATCATAATCTTGATTAAAAACAAGCACTAATTATCATAAGAAATATGATAAAATAAGGGATTCCACTAATAAACTAATTATTAAAAAAAAAAAATTAGTACTGTTTTTGAAATGACAAAACACTAGTATCAAAAAATACACCCCAACTGAGAATAAACCTTAGAGGTGCCAACATGTGATACAACAAAGCACTCGGCCAAATTGCTTACCCATTATCAACCCGCCACGTGTCACAAAACCAACGGTCATCTTCTTACCCCACTTATTTTATTTTTGTCTTAATGCATGGGCAGTTTTTGGTCTTAAAAAGGGGTATCACATGGATTGTGTTTAGAGAGAAGAGAGAAAAGAGGAGAGAGCAATCAGGGTAAGCAAGAAGGAGAGGTCAGGATTGCTCACAAATCCAAAAGAGGGTAAACCCAAAACCCTTATCCTATCTCTTCAAAATCCTCTCATGAAATTTTCATTTCACTTTTCTATCTCTAAAAGCTCTTCTTGGTTTTCAATCTCTCCTTTCATTTATTCTCTCATCATCCTCTTCTCTGCTTATACTTCTCTCTCTCTCTCTCTCTCTCTCTCTCCAACTTCATAAACCATTGTTGTCATCATCATATTATCACTGGATTCACTGAATTTATCTGTAATCTTACTATTATTAATTATATCTGAAATGGGTTTTTGAATTGCCTCCAAAGAATCTTCATTCATAGCAAAAAGAAGTAAAAAAAAAAGAAAAAAAAGAAAACAAAGAGAGAAATGGCTCCAAAGTCAAGTAGAGCAAAGGGCAACAAAGCCAAGGCAGAGAAAAAAAAGAAAGAAGAGAAAGGTTAGACACCCACTTCCATCTATATTGTATATCAATTAATTTCTTTTCTTTTTCTTGATTTGAACACATTAATTTTTTTTTAATTAATGAGTTACTATTTTTGTTTTTGTTTTTGTTTTTTCTTTCCATTTTGCAGTTGTACCTAGTGTTCTTGACATTACAGTCATCACACCATATGACACACAAGTGGTTCTCAAGGTATTGTTTGTTTATTCCAACCCCCCCACCCATAAAAGCACATATATATTTTATTGAAAAAAAAAGCATTTTTTTAATATATTGTTCTTTAAACTTGTTAACTAGTTGATTAATAATGAATTCTATGGAAATGAAGGGTATCTCAACTGATAAAATACTTGATGTAAGGAGGCTGCTAGCAGTCAATGTAGACACATGCCACCTCACCAACTATTCTCTATGCCATGAGGTAAGTCTTGATATACATACATATATTTATCAATGTTTATTTACAAATTTTAATTAATTATTACTTTTTTGTTTTTGTCTTTTGGGAACAGGTTAAAGGACATAGATTGAATGATAGGTTGGAGGTTGTTTCTCTAAAGCCCTGTTTGCTGAGGATGGTTGAAGGTAGGTTATGCTCATAGTCCAATATCTACACCAATATCTATAACTAATGGTCTGTGGGTCTGGTGCCATTAATAGTTGTTGGCTTCATGAATCACTATTTATAGGTGATTTTTATCTTTATGGAATAAGATTCTCTATAATATTCTTTTTGCAATAGTTTTACAAAAGGTCAAAATTATTTTGTAAAATTATTTTGAACTTAAACCACTCACTTAAACTACTATTGCAAGATTATTGTAGAGAATCCAACTGTCTTTGATGATCCAGTGATAGCATACATTTTGTATAGCTAACTTAAATGAGAACCACTAAAAACTTAGAAAAAATAAAATTTAGAATATTACTCAAAATTTAGAATCAATGGTTGAGATTCACTCAAGATTTAGCCCCCACAATGTAAAGTTTAAACACACATCATAGATAATAAAAAAAATTCATGATGATGAATTTTATGAGAACTTTTCTGCTTTCCTAAATTTTTTTAAGCTATACACCAAAAACTTTGTTTAAAATCTCTATTCAAAAGGCAGAAGTATAGTTGAGATGTAATTAATGTACTATAAGGTTTGTACATAAAATGAATATATGAACCATATACATTAATATTTCTTAGTAAAATTCTGAATATGTAGTATTACTGCATTGTATTCTATAATATTACACTTTGATAGGCTCAATGATAGCTATGTGTGCTATATATTATGTATATTACATATTTTAATACCATGTAAGATAGTTATTATTATAAGGGCATTCGTATTAGAATGATTCTTTTAAGAAATATTTTAGCTAATATAATAAAGGCCTATTGCATGTTGTTTATTTATTTTAATAAACAAAGTTTGGTGCTGAGGTAAACTAACATGAATAGTTGAAGGCATATACCTTAGGAAAGGACGGTACGAAACCATTTGACATTGGTTTTTTTTATTAAATTAATAATTAAAAAATAAAAAATAAAAATTATGAAATAACTAATATTTAAAAAAAATTATTTAAATTATTATTAATTCATAATTATGAACCGAAGCTACACTAAATATTGATATGAATTTTAAAAAAAAAAAAACACAAGACACAAGCAGTGGGTCCCGTCCACTACCACATCACTAATAGTGCTTTTAGAGCACCACTTTTAATGATCTCAAGCATTATTGCTCTTTCTATTTGTGTTTTACATTTTTTAAATAAAAAAGGTATGTACTTTTGTATCAAATGAAAGATTCTGAAGTCATGGCACAAAACAAAACAAATCTGACACTGTCAACAACTTTTTGCCACATAAATCAGTTACCAATTAAATATTCGCCCAGTCTGAAAATGATAATTTTTTTTTGAGAAATTTAATTTTTTTATAGTATAATTATTACATTTTAAAAAATTAATTTTTTAAAATTATCTTTTGATAACATATTTTTTTGAGAAATATCAATTGTCATAATTATACTTTTTATGTTATTAATGAATTTAAAAGAAGAGCAAAATAAAAAATTCATATTTATTTTAGTTTTTGATTTTTGAAAATAGACTAATATTTTGAGATAATGAAAATAGTATAAGGGACAAATATTTTAGAATGAAAAGAGTAAATATTTACAAAATTATTGAATATGAGTTGGTGTAATTGAGAGTTGTGTTCTCTCCTATTGGGAGATATAAATCACTGGCATTTTCATTATTTGATAAAGAGTAATACTATATAAATTAATAAATTTTGTAATTTTTTTTTATATTAATTGACGTCACACTTTTCAAAGTTTCATTGATAAGAAAAAGTTTATAATATAAATTAGTTTGTATAATATTTTCTTTTCGTAAATATTTGTCACATTTCTGACTCATTTGTAATTATTCCTAATTTTTTCCTTTCTTTAATTTTCCTTTGAACATCTTAAAGAAAAAATTCTTACATTTCTTTTTGCAATAATGCTAAAAAGACATAAAAATCTACACACTAAATTACTTCTTTAAAAGTAAATATCTTTATTTATTTATTTTAGTTAACATCTTTGACATTGAAAGAGGTGTTTTGAGCATGAAACAACAGCTTCCCTAAAAAATTAAGAAATTTTACTAACATGTGAATTAAATATGTTTATTAGTTATTTAAATGCACCAACGAACCCTTATTATAAGATGTTAATAGATTAATAGAATTAAATTACACGGATTACAACTCCAATCTTTGTTACATTGATTTGAGTGTTAGACAAAAAAGTCGATCATTTTAATGTGTTAAAGGTTAAGCTATAATCCTTCCTCATTGGTTAAACCCATCTTAAGTTTTGATACATGTAAATACTGTGGACCAATACACTCCAATGAGCTAGAATCAGTGTGGAATCCTGAAGTTAAACTTGTGTAGTCTCCATCAAATAAAAAATAATAAAAAGCATGAGGGGGGTATAATTCGTAAGTTTGGTGGCCTATTTGACTTTTTTATTTTTGTGATGCAAACATTATATTTGACTTTCAATAATATAGGTTATGCAGGGATGTAGACATAAAAGTTGATTTACAACTTAAATTCATTGTAAGCGTGGTGATGACAACACTAAAAAAGAATTGAATATGGATCGTATTTAATTTTGAAGACATATATGGGACAATTATATTATTACATTTTATTTTTATTTTCTTTATTCCATTTTTTTTTTGTTGTTGTTTTCAATGTATGGATTTAGGCCTCGTTTGGGATGCTACCTTTTTAGCCAATTAGCCAAAAAATTACTAAATTAGCCAATTAACCAATTAGTCATACCAAAAAGTCAATAATTACGGCTTCTCTCTACTTTTTGCACAACTTTTCGTAATTAGTCAAAAAGGCATCCCAAACATACAAGTTTTTTTTACCTACTATTTTAGCCAATTAGCCAAAAAGTTACTAAATTAGCCTGTTCCCAAACGAGGCCTTAGTGTGTTTGAAAGCTCTTGCATATTCGGTAGGCATATAGTTTTGTATCTTCAATATTTTTTATTCTTATGTTCCAAAAATATATACATTAATATTAAACCTTATTTTGAGGTTATTGAACATTGAGATTTTTAATAAGTTTATGGTGTTGAGGGGGTGTTTGGAAATAATCTAAAAAAATCAGTTTTCGATTAAAAAAGTTAATTCTTTGTCATTAACTATAAAAATTAATAAGAAAAAGTTTATAATATAAATTAGATTGTATAATATTTTCTTTTTGTAAATATTTGTCATGTTTCTAAATCATTTGTAATTATTCTTAAATTTTTCCTTTCTTAAATTTTCCTTTGAACATCTTAAAGAAAAAATTCTTACATTTCTTTTTGCAATAATGCTAAAAAGACATAAAAATCTACACACTAAATTACTTCTTTAAAAGTAAATATCTTTATTTATTTATTTTAGTTAACATCTTTGACATTGAAAGAGGTGTTTTGAGCATGAAACAACAGCTTCCCTAAAAAATTAAGAAATTTTACTAACATGTGAATTAAATATGTTTATTAGTTATTTAAATGCACCAACGAACCCTTATTATAAGATGTTAATAGATTAATAGAGTTAAATTACACGGATTACAACTCCAGTCTTTGTTACATTGATTTGAGTGTTAGACAAAAAAGTCGATCATTTTAATGTGTTAAAGGTTAAGCTATAATCCTTCTTCATTGGTTAAACCCATCTTAAGTTTTGATACATGTAAATACTGTGGACCAATACACTCCAATGAGCTAGAGTCAGCTAGAGTCAGGTAGGGCTGAGAAAGGAATCCGTGAAATCCGTAATCCGATCCAGTCCAGTCCAATCCGATAGGTTTTGATTGATTTTTTGAATCCGCGGTTCGGTTCCGGATTGAAGAATTAAAAATCCGTAGTCCACGGATTGGTTCCGGATTGAACCCCACGGTTCTGGATTGGAACCGATCCAGACCGTATACAAATAGTCTATATTTTTATTATACATCCTCCCCCATAATATCTTCTCTTATTCTATATAAAATCTAAACTCAAACCTAAAACCGTATAATATTTTATTTTATTACTTTTGTTTGTATTTTCTTATGGTTGTTTAAATTCAAGAACAGTATGTTACTATTATAAAAAAACATGTTGTTATTATGGAACTGATATAGCGCTATGTTTATATTTTTATGAAATTAAAGTGTTATATATATATATATATTTTTGTTATTTAATTATGTGAATCCGTGGTCCTAAACCGATCCAATCCGTATTTAAATGGATTGGTTCGGATTGGTTCTATGATTTAAACGGATTGGATTGGTTCCAATTTTTCAAGAACCGTAGATAACGGATTGGTCCTGGTTTTACCCCAATCCGGTCCAATCCGGACCATGCTCACCCCTAGAGTCAGGCCCCGTTTGGGGACTTACTTTTTTAGCCAATTAGCCAAAAAGTTACTAAATTAGCCAAAAAGCCAACAACTCATACAAAAAAGTCAAAGATTCTCTTTTTTCTCTACATTTTGCACATCTTTTCGTAATTAGCCAAAAAGTCATCCCAAACATATAAGTTTTTTTTACCTACCTTTTTAGTCAAATAACCAAAAAATTACTAAATTAGCCTGTTCCCAAACGAGGCCTCAGCGTGGAATCCTGAAGTTAAACTTGTGTAGTCTCCATCAAATAAAAAATAATAAAAAGCATGAGGGGTATAATTCGTAAGTTTGGTGGCCTATTTGACTTTTTTATTTTTGTGATGCAAACATTATATTTGACTTTCAATAATATAGGTTATGCAGGGATGTAGACATAAAAGTTGATTTACAACTTAAATTCATTGTAAGCGTGGTGATGACAACACTAAAAAGGAATTGAATATGGATCGTATTTAATTTTGAAGACATATATGGGACAATTATATTATTACATTTTATTTTTATTTTCTTTATTCCATATTTTTTTTTGTTGTTGTTTTCAATGTATGGATTTAGTGTGTTTGAAAGCTCTTGCATATTCGGTAGGCATATAGTTTTGTATCTTCAATATTTTTTATTCTTATGTTCCAAAAATATATACATTAATATTAAACCTTATTTTGAGGTTATTGAACATTGAGATTTTTAATAAGTTTATGGTGTTGAGGCGGTGTTTGGAAATAATCTAAAAAAATCAGTTTTCGATTAAAAAAGTTAATTCTTTGTCATTAACTATAAAAATTAAGAGAAATCACATGTCAATAAATTCTTCAAAAATTAATTACTATAATTTTAAATTTTTATAAAGTTTATTGCTAATTTGAAAATATTTTTTCAAACATCCACTTGAATGAAATTCTTCTAAAAAATTAAATGTCACATCAATTTCTTCACTAAAAAAATATGTTTTGGTAACTTTTCAAATACATTACTTTTTTATTAACTCACCCATGGGATGAACTAATTTAGTTTTGCTTTTTAATTATTTTAGTTTGGCTAAAAAATTTGTGTTTTGGATAAATTTTAACTTTTTTTTTGTAGTTGATTTGATGGTTTTGAAAGAATAAGTAAAATAATTATGATTTAAATGTGTCATTTTATCTTATTGATAAATTAGTATGTTTTATCTTTATTGACTAATTTAGTGCTCGTTTGGTAACAGATTATTTTAGTAACTTTTTGACTTTTTAAAAAAAAGATATGTAAAAAAAATAAGAAAAGTGATGTGACAATTTATAGTAACTTTTTAAAATTAAGGCCTCGTTTGGGAACCATATTTTTTAGCCAAAAAGTCAAAAAGTTACTTAAAAAAGCCAACAACCCATATCAAAAAGTCAAATATTTTCTTTTCTCTCTACTTTTTGCACATCTTTTCGTAAAAAGTCAAAAAGGCATCCCAAACATACTAGTTTTTTTTAGCTCATATTTTAGCTAAATAGCCAAACAATTATTAAATTAGCATGTTCCCAAACGAGGTCTAAAATATTTAAGGATTATTTGAGAAGTGTTAGATTAGTATATTTTTTGACTTTTTATGAAAAAAGATGAAGGCCAAGTTTGGGAAGTTGAAAATAATCCATCTTTTTATCTTTTTATCTTTTTTTCATCACATCACCTCTTTACTTTTTTGCACATCTTTTCGTAAAAAGACAAAAAATACACTTATTTAGATCATCCCAAACAATCCCGAAATATGGGTTGAGTTTGAAGTGATGTACTAGAGAGGTGATACGACTTAAATAAGATAATTATGACTTAAATAGAATAATATACTAAAATAGTATGTGCTATTTTAGCAAATGTCAAATAATCACTGTAGTCCTTAAAATAGTTCATTTCAAACGGAGCCTCATTAAAAAAAAAAAATAATTCAAAAGTCATTAAAAAATGAAAAATTGTATTTAGAAGCTCTTGTATAGTCGGTGTAGAATCCTTTGCCTGCAAAACTATTTGTCTTTGGTGTTTTTTATTTTTTTATATTAATAATTAAATTACAATGCAAATTAATATCCTTCCTATAAATTCGAATTTAAAACCTTACTCATGGTCACTTGAGCAACTGTCCCGGATCATGAATTGTGGTTATTAACTTAATTTTTTAAATAATAATCTAATGATTATAAGTCAAATGGGAAAGTAAAGACAAAATTACAAATCAAGTTTAATTTTAAAATATAATTATATAAAGGTTGAACTTTTCTTATGTTGATAATTCGAGAGATTTATGGAGTTTATTATAAGTTTTGTTTCGATAATTTGAATTCAAACCGTTTATTTTTTAAATTTTATTAAATAAAATATTCATATAAAAAATCAAGATGATCAAATATCAATAATTATATGTTTGAATTAAATTTATATTATAAAAATAGATTTGTCACCTATTTTTTAAAATAAATATGATTTAAATATATAACTACTAATGTTTAATCATCTTATTTTTTGTATGAATATTTTACTTAATGAATCTAAAAAAATAAATAATTTAAATTATCAAAATTAATTTCAAAACGAGAGCATCTCCAACGATAATAGGCATTTTACCTATCTAAACATTACTATAAAGTATACATTTTATTTTGCCTATCAACTGTTTTATATTTTTGCTCCAACCATGCTCTTTATTTTAACTATTCATCCAAATACTATTAATTTTATAAAATGCCACATCAGCAACAAAGATGGAGGGAAATAATCCTAATGATTAAACACATTTTGCCTAACCTTGAAGGCTAGCTACATATAGCTAGTGAATGTGAGTTGAGCTAAAATGCCTAATTACATGCCTAGTGCATTGGAGTTGAAAAAAGTGAGTCATACTAGGCATTTTACCTAACAAGCATTATATGCCTAGTGCATTGGAGATGTTCTAAAAAGCTCTCTTGAATTAAAATCTCAATTTGAAATAAGCTATACCCTTCATGAAAAAATTTGTAACTTCAATAATTAAAATTGATAAACTTTATTATAAATCTGAAAAAAAAAAAAAAAAAGTTCAACCATCACTGTGGTTATTTTCCCCAAAAGTAATGTAGTAATTAGGAGTGGGAGTTTATTGATCAATACTGATAATTTACATAAATGCCACTGACATTTCAGAGGACTACACTGAAGTCTCCCATGCGTTAGCACACGTGCGGAGGCTACTGGACATCGTCGCGTGCACGACCCGCTTCGCAAAACCCAAGGGCGGAAGACCCGCCGGCGTCGCCGCCGCAACAGGCGGCCGAGCGAAGAAGATCAGCAGGAGCCACTCCCCCACAACCACTGTAGGCCCACCGTCTCCTCCTTCCGATGGTGAAATCCGATCTTCGGAGCCGCCGACTTCCAAGAGCTACGAAATGGCGGCGATTCATCCCATTCCAAAGCTCTCCGATTTCTACGAGTTCTTCTCTTTCTCTCACCTCTCTCCTCCAATCCTACGTGAGTCCTCTTTTTTTCGTTGATTTCTTTACATTTCGAAATTGAGAAATGAGTGTATTGTGATGATCTGAAACCTTTCTCTTGTTTCTATGGCTATGCAGATTTGAAGAGATTGGAGCCAAAGGAAGGGGATGAGGGGCAAAATGGTGATTACTTCGAAATGCAGGTGCTTTTATTGCATCTCTCTCTAGTTGCTTTCTCCATTGCTAAATTGCCGCATTTTTATTTGTTCTTTTTTGTAATTTTAAATTGGGTTGAATACATTCATGATGTTTAAATTAGGGTTTGATTTTTTTTATTTTTTATTTTTTATCCTTTAAATTATGAGCATGTTTTATCCTCCAACTATTAATTTGGTCTATTTAGTTCATAATTTTTTTTTTTAATTCTAGTTAATGAAGTACAATTTTGTTTTATTTTATTTTTCTATAACCGGTGTCTGGTCTGCTTGCACGCATCTAAATTGTAAAATTATCTTCTTCTTTTTTTCTTTAGGTTAGGATGCCACCGTTATTGATTTGGACGGACTGTCTCTAACTGGACGATATGAATTGAAATCAGAAATTTAATGAATTTAAGAGATGAAATTGATAGTTTTCGGATGAAATTTTAAAAAATGACAATAATTTAGGGGATAAAAGTGAAATTAACCCTTTAAAGTATGTTTCTGTTAGATACTGGTTATCAGTACTTTAATTGTTTAATTTTAGTTGTTTAACATTTTTAATTTGTGTTTAAATGATTACAGAGCTGTTTTTATTTGTTGTAACTGAAGCAGGGGTATTTTTGTCTAAACTTGGACAGAATTTAGAGGGAAATTTGGACGAAAACAATGCTGAAATCATTTAAACACGAATGGAACAAATTAGAAATTAAATTGATACATTTAAAATATTGTGACCAAAATAAAGCAGAATGCATACTCACTGACCATGTTTTTAACTCTTTTAAAAATTTAAAGTACTACATTGTAATCATCTGATTCACTTGTGCAGATAAAGATCTGCAATGGGAAGCTAATACAAGTAGTTGCATCAGTAAAAGGCTTCTACACTGCAGGAAAACAATCTCTACAAAGCCACTCTCTTGTTGATCTTCTGCAGCAGCTTAGCCGAGCTTTCACCAAAGTTAGTACTTTTTCACTTCACAAGCTGTTGTTGCTGTGGATGCCGCATTCTCACTTGCTTTCCCATTTATTTATAACATGTCACTTATCTAAACAAGACACTAAAAATCATCATCAATAGCAAAAAGCATTAGAGCAAGTCCAAATTTATCCACCTTTGTCAACTTCTAAACTAACTAGGGTGAGTGAAGCAATCAATGCAGCAGCTGAACTTTCAACTTTGTTATGTCAAAAAAAGCGTCAATTTGATTTTAGTAATACTATGCACCTAGTAAAGTACACCGGAAATGAAATGTGTGGACCATATTTATTTTGGGTGTAGCCCACATCACATCAAGTTTGAATTTACACCCGTACACTTCATTTTTAGGGTGCGTAGCTTTTCCAACTGGTTAAGCTTGAATGCCCTTTGGTTGCAATTTGGTCCCGAATATGACTCTTGAATTGGTATTTAACAATTTGGTTTTGTGTGCAGGCATATGAATTGTTGATGAAAGCTTTTGTAGAACACAACAAGGTGAGATTTGCTTACTTAAATGAACATCACTTGGAAATGTAATAATCATGAAAGAAATAGTGAATAAGCTTTTGGTATAAATTTTCTTTTCAGTTTGGTAACCTTCCGTATGGTTTTCGTGCCAACACTTGGCTTGTCCCTCCATCAATAGCTGATTCTCCATCAAATTTCCTGCCCCTTCCAGTGGAAGATGAGAATTGGGGTGGCAATGGTGGGGGTCAAGGAAGAAATGGTGAGCATGATCGTAAACCGTGGGCCACAGAGTTTGCAATATTGGCAAACCTTCCTTGCAAAACTGAGGAGGAGAGGGTGGTTAGAGACCGAAAAGCATTTTTGCTTCATAGCCTGTTTGTTGATGTCTCGATCTTTAAAGCTGTTTCGGCCATACGCCAAGTGATAGATTCCCCTATAAAGACACGCCAAAATTCAATGAATGGACTTTCAGGCTCAATCTCGCATGAGGTTCGTGTGGGGGATTTGTCTATTACAGTACAACAAGATGCAGCTGATGCAAGCTTGAAGTCTGAAGTGAAACCTATTGGCAGCGAATCGTCGAGTATGTCTGCTCAGGAAGTTGCTCAAAGGAATTTACTTAAAGGAGTAACTGCAGATGAGAGTGTAGTTATTCGTGTAAGTACTTTTTTCATTCATTTGGGTAGCAAAATCTCTTGTTTAATGTTTTAGTTTAGATAGGGAAGTAGGGCATGCTTTTACTAACCTCCGACTCTTCTTTCTTCTTCTTTTTTTCCCCCCCTCCTCAATGCATTAGAGTACCTGATCCAAACACAGTCCAGATAAATCTTAAAGGTTATGTTTCTGAAATACTTCTCAGTTAATATTTTCCAAATAAAATATTGACTGCAGGTTGCATTATTGAATAAGTCAATAAGCCTTTTCCCAATTAATTGGGGCCCTAGACCAATCCAATTTTGCCATTTGACCTGATTAGGGTTGGCTGTCTTGTTAATATTTTCTTTTCATCAATTTTGTCCATGTTTGGGATCACATTCTGAAACTTTGTGTGTTCTGATCAAAGTTTATTTGTTGAACCCATTTTCAAGAGTTGTTATGCGTATTTCTTGTTTCTACTCTTTCCTCATCAGGAAAACTGAAGCAACATCAGTAATTTTTTTCAGGATACATCGTCATTGGGTGTTGTTGTTGTACGACATTGTGGATACACTGCAATTGTAAAGATTGTTGGTGATGTGAAGAGGAGAAAGTGCATGGCTCAAGATATTCATATTGATGATCAACCAGATGGAGGAGCCAATGCTCTCAACATTAATAGGTTAGGATCTCTAATTGACGTGTGCTCACTCATAAAACATATCTTTATTGGTCTGTAAAGCTTTTAAGGATACAGAAGGTTGTGAAAAAATTTGGCATCTAGTTTCAATCCGCTATAACCCTCTATTCTTTGTACATGTATCAATCACAAGTGTGTTATGCCACGGGTTTTTTCCATCTCACATTAAGGGAAGTCTGAATTACTGATATGTCCCTGCTTGTAGTGAAATGCAGTGGTATAGTGTTATGATAGAAATACATGCTCAGTCTACTATCCAATCCTACGTTTGATGAGCAACAGAACTAAAGAGTGCTTCTTGGATTTATCTACACCTCATATCACATGTTTGGAACTTCATAGGCAGTTCTCCTTCCTATCTTAAAATGGGAATTCACTCTGGAAATGGTTTTACCCTTTTGATGCATGTTCATAGCAACCGGGTATTATTCATTATTTTCTTGTTAAGCATTTAATTTCAGTTCACAAAAATAGCCTTTTACCTATTAGAACTGCAAAACTAGGAATCAGTGTTACCTGAAAACATTAATACCCTAGCGATTTACATTTTGGAACACAAGTTCCAAAACATGGTATACTTTCATTCCAAAACGAAAACTTTAGCGATCCCAAATTTTTCCCTAAAAATTTTCTTGGAAGTTTCCTAAAAAGTCTCGTAATTTTACCCACAGTGAAATGGCAGGTTATGTGTCAACTTTTGATTTGTAACATACTCAACCAAGTAAGGCCCACCTCCATTGATTTCAGTTCACAATAATTTTCATATGATTAATTTATAACTACATTTTATTTGATGTCTAACTATTAAAATATGATTGCTATCATATTTAGGGGTTGTTTGGGGTGTCCTAAATAAGTGCACTTTTTGTCTTTTTGGACTAAAAAATTGATGAAAAAAATATGAATGTTTGGGTTAACTTTTTGACTTTTTATGGAAAAATGTGTATTAAAAAATTGTATAAATTAGTGTGTAGGGAAAAATTAGGATTGAGAGTCGTGCAGCCGTAATTTTTGACTTTTGGTGAATAGTGATAACTTTTTAACTTTTTGACTTTTTGGCAATTTGCCAAACTTGGCTTTAGTAGTCTCCGCATTCCAGGTAACATATCTAGGAACAAATATAGTACAGGGCTCGTTAACTTTATAAAAAGTGATTTGAACTATGCTTCTTGATATATACTATTCAAATTGTTGTATATCCTTGTAATATAGTCACATGCAGCAGACTAACTAGGGATAAAATTTTCTACAGCTTAAGGGTTCTGCTTCATGAGTCATGTAGTGCCGAATTGTCTGGAGGAGGGCAGTCACCTCAGTCTAAACTGGATGATCTTGAAACTTCTAGATGTCTGGCTCGTAGAGTGATTGAGGAGAGCTTGAGGACGTTAGAGGAGAAGCCAGCGTCCTCTGAAAGGACTATTAGATGGGAACTCGGTTCTTGCTGGGTACAGCATCTACAAAAGCGGGAAACACCTAATGATAATAGTTCTAAAAGCTCTCAAGACAATAGTAAGGCTGATTTGGAGGTTAAAGGACTTGGGAAACAATTTAAAATGCTGAGGAAAAGGGAAAAGAATGCAAATAGTGTGAGAAACAAAGATGATAATGAAGAAAATGATTCCAGAGTCAGTGGCCTGAATGTCGGAAGCAGCATGGCAGAGCTAAACAATGGCGAGTCCAACAGTGAGGTTGAATTGAAGAAATTTATTTCTGAAGAATCTTTCTTGCGTCTGAAAGGCACTGGAACGGGGCTTCATCTAAAGGTCTCTAAATGGCTCTCTTCAAATATTGCGAATTATCCATTTTAAGTTTCATGCTATTATATATTAGTCTAGCTTTATGCATAGATAATTTAGAAGGAAAAGGGTTATTGATTTGCTATTGATATACGGTAAACGCTTATCAACTGATGGGTAGTGTCTCCTTTGTTATTCTTGTTACTTATTTCATTTTTTTTCTATTGAGATATTCATTACTCAAATTGTCTTCTTGTAACAGTCAGTAGATGAGCTCATGAAGATGGCGAAGAAGTATTATGATGAAATTGCTTTGCCTAAGTTGGTAAATATTTAGCGTATGATGAGTTTCTTCAAATTGAAAGTTTATCGATAGTCTGAGCACCAAATGTGAACTAAATCTCTTGTTTTATTTAGGTAACAGATTTTGGATCGCTTGAACTTTCTCCAGTTGATGGACGGACTTTAACTGACTTCATGCATCTAAGAGGATTACAAATGCGCTCCTTGGGTTGTGTGGTAAGAAGATAATCTCTCTCTCTCTCTCTCTCTCTCTCTCTCTCTCATATACACAAGCGCTCCACAAAGCTCAAAATGATATGAGACTGGAATGTTGCTTCTGAAAATCTTATTTCTTAGGGAAATTATTGTGCTTGCTAACTTGATCAATATTGTTAAATATCTATGTAAGCTAGATGATTGTACGAAGCATAATTTCAGCGGAGTGTTTAAATTTGATCTCAATAAAATACAACATTAACTATTGTTGGCTCTGATCGCAATATGAAAACCAGGTTGAACTTGCAGAGAAGCTTCCTCATATACAGTCACTTTGTATTCACGAGATGGTCACTCGAGCTTTCAAGCATGTCCTTAAAGCCGTTATTGCTTCTGTTAATAATGTGGCAGACTTATCCACAGCAGTAGCTTCATGCTTGAATTTCTTGCTTGGGGGCTACACAATAGAAGATAGTGAACATAACTTGAGTGGTGATCACATGCTCAAATTGCAGTGGTTACGAACTTTTCTAGCCAAAAGATATGGCTGGACTCTAAAAGATGAGTTTCAACAATTGAGGAAATTAACAATTCTCCGAGGACTTTGCCACAAGGTACCATCTCCTTTTATTTCCTTCGGTCATGGTTTCATTAGAATGAGATTCTAATGTTTCTTTTTTCTTTTGTTTTTTTATTTTTTATTTTATAAATATCCAGGTTGGATTGGAGTTGTTTCCGAAAGACTATGATATGGAAAGCCCAAACCCTTTCAAGAAATCTGATATTATCGGCATTGTTCCTGTGTGTAAAGTAAGAGTCTCTCTCTCTCTCTCTCTCTCTCTCTCTCTCTCTCACTTGCACACATTCACACAAATTGCATTTGATTTGAAAGTTTTACAATCTATATTAGTGTGACGTCCTTTGCAATAACCAAGATGTTTGAACCATATGCTACACAGCATGTAGGATGCTCTTCTGCAGATGGGCGGACCCTATTGGAGTCATCAAAGATTGCACTTGATAAAGGAAAGCTAGAAGATGCTGTCAACTATGGAACGAAGGTACCAAAGCCATCCTGTCCGTAGTAAGCTGTTTAATTCTATTCTTAACTGGTACAAAAATCAATCTCAATTTTTTGTATTACTTGATTCTGAAGGCATTGGCAAAGATGATAGCTGTCTGTGGTCCCTATCATCGTACGACTGCGAGTGCGTACAGTCTGTTAGCTGTTGTGCTTTACCACACAGGAGACTTTAATCAGGTAGATATATATAATATTCTTTTGTTAATAATTGGGCTTTGCTTTTATGATTTGTAACTGTACGTCACTTTGTATACTTATTTTTTTGTTCTTCTATTATTGAGAAATTTTTTGCATTTCCGTATTTACCGTTGTTTATACATATTTGAAGAAGAGATAACCTCTGAAACAACCTTTTGAAGTGGACAGAATGATACAAACTACAAAGCCTAATGAGAAAAGAAATGCATGGTTATATCAAACTCAAATGTGATATGTTATGCTAGAAAAGAAGTAAAAATTCAAATTTTCTGAGTCTAAATTGATTTAGATTTCTATGGGCATGCCAAAGCTAAGGTGCATATAGTTTGCATGCTCAAGCATGGGTACAACTTAATAATTTACCTTTAAAGGAAGTCAAATGTTGTATCTTCAATTTAGGCCTCGTTTGGGAACAGGCTAATTTAGTAACTTTTTGGCTATTTGGCTAAAAAGGTAGGTAAAAAAAACTTGTATGCTTGGGATGACTTTTTGGCTAATTACGAAAAGATGTGCAAAAAGTAGAGAGAAAAGAGAATCTTTGACTTTTTGGTATGAGTTGTTGGCTTTTTGGCTAATTTAGTAACTTTTTGGCTAATTGGCTAAAATAGCCTCTTGCCAAACGAGGCCTTATAAAGGTACAAATGAAATTCTAAAGTTATTTATATTTTTATGCCAAGTTGCATATTATGCGAGACTGTAGAGTGTGGATGTTGATTCGATTTATAAATTTTTCTATAGAGGTACTTGTGCACCCTAGATTGAATATTCTGTCATTTAGGCTTTATGTGATCTGTGTTTGAAACTTATAATTTGTCTGTGAAAGTGGCCAGGTTGCTCTAGTATCCAAATTTATTTTTCTTCTTTGTTTAGGCAACAATATACCAACATAAGGCTTTGGATATCAATGAGAGGGAACTTGGGCTTGACCATCCAGATACAATGAAAAGCTACGGAGATCTTTCTGTATTTTACTATCGTCTCCAACACATTGAATTAGCTTTGAAGTAAGTCAAATATGTATCCATGTTCTTAATTGCCAAAATCACGTATCCTGTTCATTCTGCTCTATTTGGGGAATAAATGTGAAATTATACACCAACAAGAGTTTCTCGCTTTTTGTGTTAGTCGCATTCATGATTCATCCTTTTGGTGGAGTTAACAGAACTCATCTTCTTTTTTTAAAAATATTTTTTATTTTTTATAATTATGTTTATGCCTTTCCATTCATAGCCTTTGTTGATGAGAGCTAGTGCATCATCTTTGACAGATATGTCAACCGTGCTTTGTTCCTTCTTCATTTCACATGTGGACTTTCGCATCCAAACACAGCTGCAACTTACATAAATGTTGCTATGATGGAAGAGGGTATGGGAAATGTTCATGTTGCTCTCAGATACCTGCATGAAGCCCTTAAATGTAATCAAAGATTATTAGGAGCAGATCACATACAGGTCTCTCTCTCTGTCTCTCTGCGTGCATATGTTGTACATGAATAACGTACCCAGATTCATATATACGTACAAAACAAAAATCTTCTTTGATAACTGACATTATAATCTCTTCCATTTATCTGACAGACTGCTGCTAGCTATCATGCCATTGCAATCGCTCTTTCATTGATGGAAGCATATTCCCTCAGTGTGCAACATGAACAAACAACACTGCAGATTCTTCAAGCCAAATTGGGACCTGAAGATCTTCGTACTCAGGTGACCATAATATCATGATTTATCATTTAATTATTATTATTTATCAGCAACAAAAAGAGGCTAATATTAATAAAGAAAAGGATTACAAGAGAACCGGAGGAAGAAGTCCACCAAAAAGGAAAAAAGAAAAAGAAGAAAAGAACAGTAAACAAAGTCTCAAGTCACATGTCACACGCTGCCCTCCAATTCCTTGAAATCAAAAAGGGTGGTACCCCCCAGTGCTGTGTTTGGTTCATGTATTTGGGTAGGGATTTAGAAAGGGAAAGGGAAAAGGTAAGTGAAATGTTTATAAAATATAGTTACATTTCACACACTTTTTCCCTTTGCCTTTCCAAATTCCTACCCAAATTCATGATCCAAACATAGCCTAAATGGAGAGGAAACCAAAGCCCTAAAAGATGACTAAGTAGAAAATTTATCCCACAAGATTCTTGCATTTCACTCCAGCCAAATAACCTAAAAAATTGCACAAAAGAAGCAGTCCAACAACACTTTTGCCGCCTTATTACAACCGAATCCCTGAAAATCAATGAAACAAAAATGGGATTGGTTTAATTATCAGCCCTTATTGGCTACTTTGGCTTCTCTGTTATTGTTGATAATTTGAATAGCTCAGGAATGCTATGTGAAACCCATATACTACAACTCCTGCCTTCTGTTACTTCATATTGCATCAAATCTTTACTAATATGGTTATACTCCCAGTGATGAGAAATTACAGCTTGTGGCAGGGAGTAGCCATCCCCAGAAAAAGTAAACGGGAATTAACTATAACTCCTACAAGATTAAAGAAGGCACCACATGTCAATACCCAACAGGGTACCCAATAAACTAAAACACTTTATTGCCATAGATATCAGAGCATAGAAGATTATGATTTCCCTAATGCCTAGTACTTTCATGTTTATCATACAATTTCATCAGTATTAAAGTTCCCGACTTACTAAATACTAACTAGTTAGTTGCACCTTCAAATGCTCAAGAAGTAGCTGGGTGTCAAATACCTTTAAAATTTGAATCTAATTGAAAGTAAAAGGTATGTACCAGTCAATGAACAGTGCTGTGTGCTGTTATGCAGGATGCTGCTGCATGGCTTGAATATTTTGAATCAAAAGCCTTAGAGCAACAAGAAGCGGCACGAAATGGAACTCCAAAGCCAGATGCATCCATTGCAAGCAAAGGCCACCTTAGGTATTGATATGGTATTCCCAAATTACTTGGTTTTAAATTGTGTGATTATTTCTTGGCACACCAAAATGTTTGACCCCTTTTTTGCAGTGTGTCGGATCTCCTTGATTACATCAGTCCTGATCAGGATTTGAAGGGTGAGAGGAGAAGACGTTCAAAGGTAGTTAGATATTTCCTATACTAACTGAACACAGAATCTTTAAGGGTCACAATCAAGTTATCCAAGCTCTCAAGTCAAAGTTCATTTCTGCTGCATTTTATCCAAATTTTGTTTTAGCAAATATTTGCCTTGGTATTAGAATTTACCATTAAATTGCATCTCGTTTGAAGATTAAACAATAGTATTATAGACCAAATATAGTTAAAAGAAGATTTAGATGAAATTTTTTTGCCTTTTTCCATGAAATTTTTGCTGAAATTCAGTGGGAAAATATGATAAATTTGACCACTATAATAATTTCACAATTTTCACTAAAAAAGAGACTGAGGTACTAATTTTAGTCATAATTTGGGTAGAAAAGTTTTCCGATGAGTGCTGCTAATAGCCTTCACTTTTTTTCTTAAGAAGCCCCCAACTTCTTTTGACCCCCACACACCAAAATAGCCCCCACCTCTTTACTTTGAAACCCAACATAATCCCCAAAATATCCCTCCTACTTTGCACCTCTACCCCCACCAGCCCTTCCTCTGGTAGACTGCCCACCTTCTTCGGCAGACCCCCGCCACCCTGGAGTTCTGGCAGCCCCATTTCCTACCCACCTCATCCTCATCTTCACCCTCCCCCACCACCACCCACCGCTGAAAACTCCTTTTCTTTGCTCTCTCTCTCTCTTTCTTGATTGTGAGGGTTGAGGTATGGGCTGAGGGAGGAACGGGGTTGAGGTACGAGCTAGAGAATGGACGGCAATGGCAGGGATGGGCTGTGGAGGGGTGGGGGCAAGGGGGTTGCCAGTGCTGGGATGGCGGGGGGAGGGTGTGATCAGAGCTGGTGGTGGCTGGGTTGGGAGGGTAGGGTTAGGATTTGGGAGGTTGGGAATAAAATTGGAATTTTGTATTGGGGTGAAATTGTAATTAAAAAAAAAAGGAGGTGGGGGTCCTTAAGAAGAAAGGTGGGAGCTATTAACAGGACTCTTTCTGAATTGTGTTGTTCAATGCGAAATGCCAAGTATGCCATCAACCTGTAAACTCTATTGTTTATTTTGAACGTTATCATGTGGTTCATAGCCTGCAAAGAGTAATGGATTCATGTTGAGGGTGTTAAAAAGTAGAGAAAGGCCAAATGAGGCATGGATTGAGTCAGCAAGTGAGGACATGATTGCCTTATACTTAACTGAGGTTATTGCTTTCAAGAGAGCCAACTGAAAGAAATGGATCTATGTTGCTAACCCCAAGTGATTGGGACAAAGACTGTTGAGTTGAGTTGATTTTTTCATGGCTCGTAATCTGTTTCCTTTTAAAAATATTTAATTGTTTTCTTAGTTTTTCCTCTTGTTTCTGTACACAGAATATAAACCTAGCTATTCAATATGGATTGAATCTTAGAGTAGAAATAGGTAACCTTAATTCTTATTAGAACAAGCTCAATGGTGCCATTCAATCGGTCAAGTTTCATGCCGGATGTTCAGAAATTGCAGACCACTTTTTCTGTTGTGAACATTAATTGCATCTCAACTTCTTAACAAGTCTTTTAATGCATTAAAAAAAAATTAATCATGTGGAATATAAGTACATTTTGGAATATTGACAACCAAATGTTGTTATTACAGTTGGAATAAAAAGAAGCATGTAATGCAATCACAATGTTCGCTGTTTGAAAAGGCAATGAAATTTCACTATCTTATGACAGTGAAATTTTTCTCTTTTTTGTTTTTTGTTTTATTTTGTTTTTGTCAAACAGAAAAAGGACATGACATGCTTATTTCTCTTTTGTACCTTATCCCGTAGGTGTTACAGGTTAGTGACAAATCCCAACAAGTGCAGCACGACACAATAATCGATGACAGCTTGATGCATGTTGATACTGAAGAAACCACTGTGATAACAGAAACCAACACACAGGATAAGCTGGGAATGGTTCTTCCTGAAGAACATGAGGCCAACAATATCACTAAACATGACAATACCAATTTTGGGGAAGCTGTCCAAGAAATAAATTCTGATGAAGGATGGCAAGAAGCCAACTCAAAAGTGAGGTCCGGAAATAGTGCTGGCCGGAGCTTTAGCCGAAGACGCCCCAATCTTGCTAGGCTAAATGCTGCCGGTTCTGAATACTATGGCAATTACAGGAGAGTAGTGATTTCACCGGTACAAAAAACCATGCCAAAGACAAGTTCGACAGAATCATCTCCGGTGAAGCATTCAAAGGCTCATAGCTCGAGTTATGGACAGGATTTGAGTAAATTGCAGGCAAAGACTCCCGTTTCCCGAGTTTCACCAATTTCAGTTTCCAAAGTTTCTCCTACTCCTGCCACTCTCACTGCCTTGGCTTCAAAATCTGTGTCGTACAAAGAGGTAGCGGTGGCACCTCCAGGTACAGTTATAAAGCCTTTTCTAGAGAAAGTAGAAGAAACAAATGTGGAAACCGATACCCAAATCAGCGATACATCGAATGAGGGCGAAATCAACATAGTTGCTGTAGAAGAATTTACACTGGATAATGAAGACACAAAAGTTGTTAATGAAAGTGGAATTGGGTCGGAAAATTCTTCCTCAGAACTTGAAGGGACTCAATGCTCTAGTAATCAGGAAAAACCGATAGAAACAAATGGGAGCAAGCTGTCAGCTGCAGCTCAACCATTCAGTCCAGGGGCCTTGACACACCCATTAAACTCGATTGCTGTAACGAGCGTTTACGATGTAATAGCTAGTCAAGGCATGCTTGCAGAGCCTGTAGAGTTTCCACCCATTGCCGCTAGAGTTCCTTGCGGGCCCAGATCGCCTCTATATTACAGAGCTACCCATTCTTTCCGGATGAAAAATGGACCCTTGAAATACCAAATCCCCGCGATGGGAAGAAGTGGAATCAAATCTCCAAAAATTATGAATCCAAATGCACCAGAGTTTGTGCCCGGAAAAGCCTTGCAAACGAATCCACCTAGTGAAGATTCAAAAGTTTCAACCGATTCAAATTCTTCGGTTGATATGGGTGTGGAGTCTTGTACTGAAGAAAAAGGTAACGAAAAGCTGACTAATGAAGTTAAAGATGGAAGATCAAAGAAAGGCAGTTCGGATGCAGAGAAAGCGAAGCTAGCAAGGCAGATACTGCTTAGCTTCATTGTAAAATCGGTTCAACATAATCTTGATCCTGCAAGCGAGTCTGTTGCAGTGAACAAGAAAAAGTTTGAGTATTCAGAAAATTCATCAGAAGCGATTGCCAACGATAGCGCAGTTATAAAAATTCTTTGTGGGAACGAAGCTAAGGCTGACTTGGATTCTGAAATTGGCAACGGTAAGCAGTCAAAAACATCGGAAGTAAACAAGAGTACGAATGAAGAGAGTGATGGATTTGAAGTCGTTAAAAAGCGGAGAAAGAATCGACAGCAATTTGCGAATGGGGTTACTGGGTTGTACAATCAACAATCTATCTGTGCTTCAGTTCGTTGAAGGCGATAAAGAGAGATTTATGAAAGGAAGATTCAGGGTTGATGTTCACCGATGCATCGCTCAAATCAGGTATGACACAGACCTCTTCTTCACATCTAATTTTTTACAGTGTAGAAATGTTTGAAGGAAGAGTTTGGGAGGGAGGGAATTTATTCAGAATCAAATTTTAATTGTATTATTCATTGATAAGCTAGCTTGACATGTTCTAATAATTTATATAGAGGTGGGGTGTTTTTTGCTTCATTAATAAAGTTCTAATTTGTGTATGCCATAAATTTCTGGCCGTTTGGTAAACTAAGAGAGAAAAAACAAATGATAAGTATGAAAAGAAAGTAAAAGAAAAGATAGGTATCTCTAGTTATTCTTCTAGTGGGAGAAACTTAATGAATAGTGAAACCAAGAAAGAAAGAAAGGAGAGTATTTTTAGAGACATGATCAATTTACTAAACTGACTCTGAGCCTTTAATTTTGTGGAGAACTCTTGATATTTTTTTATTTGAATTAAAAAGGCTTTCTTGGCATAAATATATTTTGGGTAAATTACATTGACCTCCTGAGATTTAAAAAAAAAAAAAAATACAATTAGTTTCACAATTTAAACATATTTGCACCCATTAACCTTTTAGCAAGGTTATGGTGTGAAAACACAAAGGTAAATATAGTGAAACATATATTTCAGTATAAAATAGAATCACATTTTAAACAAATTTATTCATTTTTGAAGAATACATAGCTTCAAATTTATTCATGTGAAACAAACCGGGTCAGGATTGAGCAATGGCAAAAGAAATATACCCAGTCTGTCATTGTAATTTAAAATATTGTATCTAATGGATAACATATCAATTAGCATTTCTTTAGTGATTCTTTTTTTTACATCTTGAATGTAATGAAAGAAATAAATGGTCCAAAATAAATGTGAAGGTATGACTTGTAAGATTGTTTTAGTTGACAAATGGGCAAACTCATACTACAGACGTACAATAATTGAGAAATTATTCAAGGCTCTTGGAGCAAGTTTAGGTGGTATTTCAAATCAATAATTATTGGTTTAAATAATGGAATCCACCACTTTTGTGTTAAAATTTTAAGAGACAAAGAGTTAAGTATCAATCTGTAAATGGAATACAACAATGCTCCTCTGGAGCATTGAATAATTTCTCTACAACAATTAGGGTTTATATCCTTATTTGAGCATGTCGACACCTTACAAAGCAAAAAAGAGAAGATGAGAAAACAAGACCCATAATGAATGCTGAAAGCAATATTTGAGAAGGTAGAAACAAGTAGGCTTAGGATGACTAAATTTTAAATATCATGTGATGTATCATAAATATGCTATTTATCAAATATTAGTAGTTGTGTTGGCTATTTATGTTATTTGTTATACATATATATCATTCGAAGTTGTTTTTATTCTTGTATTTGTTTATATTTGTTACCATTTTTATTTTCTGTTCATTTCATATGTGATTAATATTTTTCTCGACAATGCTACGTAGCTCAAATTTTGTGGTTCAAAAATTGCTCAAATGGCTAAAACGACGTCGTTTTGAGTACAGAACAACATAAAAATGGCCAAAACGATGTCGTTTTGGCCATTTGAACTACTTTTGAGCCACAAAATTTGAGTTACGAGACATTTTTCTATTTTTCTATACGGCACTTTAATTTATTTATGCCTCATGTTTTGTATTTATTCTTAATTTTTCATTATATGTGTAAATCAGAGTTCACAAAACTTGCAGCGGAATAAATGTAAATCAAAACACAAAACATGCAGCGGAATAAAGTGTTTAGATCATACCTCATTTGTTCTAAAACCTCGTGAATAGATCACGTGCTTCCAGAATCTAATCAATCAATCCCAGTAGTGGGGTGATATTACAATGATGAATATCACCCACACAAACCATAGTGCAAAATGACTTGATCGTTGTTTCTTGGGAGAGAGTAAGTTTAGGGATTGCCACCAAAGACATACAAAGAGCATGTTATCAGGATGTGTCTTTTAAGCAACCCTTGATGTGTATGGTTAATCATGAGTGCTTATTTTATTTTTGACACTATTTGCGCAATAATAATTTTGTTTCTGTTTTTTTTGTTTCTAAAAGTGTGTGTACACATTATTTTGAATATTGATAAACAGGAAATGTCTTAACAAGACAAATTACAGGGGCCTTTCAGGCAAATAATTATATATCCCAATAAAGGACTGGGTTGGTGAAGGTTATCAATGGTGTGGTGCATTGAAGGAAATATGACATAAATGTTATATAACCGCTATGACTCACATTGGTGATCTGAAGTAATCACAGTATTATAGTTTCTAATATATCTGAACTTATTGGCTATTTTTTAAAATTCGTGATCACATGTCAAAGTTTTTAGTGTGGAATCCAATGAGTCAAAATTTTTTAAGTTGCATATTTTTAAATAAAAAAAAACTCATAATTGCATCATAATCGGCTTAATGGGCCAAGTGGGAGAATGTTGGATTTATTTTTCTAGTGTGGCCCAATAGCCTACATATTTTCTACATGTTTTAATTTATTTGGAATCCACAAATAGATAAAGCCAATATTTGAGATCAAGTTCAGTAAATAGAATTTTAATATAATCACTCTTCTAAGATAAGAAGGAAACCTTGATGGATTAGGAATTCTTCTGATAGAGTTTATCTGGCCCTCTTCTCTCCTCTATATAAGGATGGGTGACTCCCCTTTCATATCATGAGTATTTTTCCATCACTTTAAGTTTTATAGTCATCCTAATTAAGAGAGACAGAGAGAAGAAGGTGAGCCAAAATTAAAGGTTCAACTCTAAGGGGTATTTCTCAACTTCTCTAATTCAATGGCTAACAAAGGTATATTCGTTTTATTCTTGAGTTGTATTGAATTCAAGATCTTGTAAAGTTTAATTCCGCATTATTATTATGGTTACATGTATTATTAAATCTTACACTATTTACATGAACGAGACACACATTCAAGATCCTGTAAAGTTTAATTCCGCATTATTATTATGGTTACATGTATTATTAAATCTTACATGATGTAGATCTAAAGTAATTTATGCAATTTTCCAGCTAGTTATGCTACCTTTGGGTATTCAATTCTAATCTATCAAATTACATAAGCTACAAGAAGATTAAAAAAATTTAAAAGAAATGAAAAGGTTAAATGATGGAATTGGTGGGTTTTGGTGGCAAGTCAGGGAAGTGAGGAAACTGTGGGTAAAGCCCACGGTTTTGTCTTCTTTCTATTTGTATTTTTTTTTTCCCACATTCTTCTCACATGATGGGGGATGGTAAATTGATTTATTAAATAACAATATGATAGATACAAAGGAGATGAGATAAATACAAATAAATAATTTAAAATTAAATTTTTATCTAAAAATCTCACCACTAAATTAAAATAATAAATCACCAATACCATTCACTAAATATTATTACCTCAAAATACAGGGTGTTACAATCTATCCCCCTTAAAAATAATTTCGTCCTCGAAATTCCAATCCGTAATACTCCAAAATTTAATCTCAACTAAAACTCCAAATAACACGGTTCCGCTACACACTCTAATATAAAAATGATTTTTTTTCCCCTTAAATATCAACCCCCCTTTTTTTTTTTTCATAATACTCACCACCCAACAAATCCCATGTAAGACCTAATCTCTACGCTCTGATACCATTTTGTGACGCCCCACTCCCGGGTTGTTAAATACACTAAAATAGCCTTAAAAAAAAAATACAAGTTTTGCTCCCACAAATAATAACTCCAAATAACACGGTTCCGCTACACACTCTAATATAAAAATGATTTTTTTTCCCCTTAAATATCAACCCCCCTTTTTTTTTTTTCATAATACTCACCACCCAACAAATCCCATGTAAGACCTAATCCCTACGCTCTGATACCATTTTGTGACGCCCCACTCCCGGGTTGTTAAATACACTAAAATAGCCTTAAAAAAAAAAATACAAGTTTTGCTCCCACAAATAATATTTACAAAATGTTGTGACGCCCCAAAATTTTTTTTTTTTAAACATCAAGGGAAATTAAATAAACAAAATGACTTAATAAACTAAAAAGTTGACATCTTAATAGGGCATTCCAACTCTCGTACATAGCCAAAGGTTCAAATAATATTAAATAAAAACTTAACATTATCCAAATACAACATCAATGAAATTATAAGGTCCTTAATAGCTAATATATAGGATAATAAAGTTATTCGACTTTAGCTATGATTTCAAGTCAGCCAAGGCTCTACGTTACCGTCAACTCCATTTCAGCTTCAATTATTTCCTCGGCCAAAACCTGGCATAAAACGCCAAGGCAACAAAAATATATGCCATGAGTTTTGCAACACAGTAAGAAAACATAGCCAACCTACCATTCTTTTTAAGAGAAAAATAATGAGGTTCTAAACATGAGATAACAATATAATTGTAAACATAAATTACAACCATTAGAATAATTTCAATAATTTTAATAAATTAGGTGACACTCGAAATCTCACCAAAGAGATTTAACTTAAATTACAACCATTAGAATAATTTCAATAATTTTAATAAATTAGGTGACACTCGAAATCTCACCAAAGAGATTTAACTTAAATTACAACCATTAGAATAATTTCAATAATTTTAATAAATTAGGTGACACTCGAAATCTCACCAAAGAGATTTAACTTAAATTACAACCATTAGAATAATTTCAATAATTTTAATAAATTAGGTGACACTCGAAATCTCACCAAAGAGATTTAACTTAAATTACAACCATTAGAATAATTTCAATAATTTTAATAAATTAGGTGACACTCGAAATCTCACCAAAGAGATTTAACTTAAATTACAACCATTAGAATAATTTCAATAATTTTAATAAATTAGGTGACACTCGAAATCTCACCAAAGAGATTTAACTTAAATTACAACCATTAGAATAATTTCAATAATTTTAATAAATTAGGTGACACTCGAAATCTCACCAAAGAGATTTAACTTAAATTACAACCATTAGAATAATTTCAATAATTTTAATAAATTAGGTGACACTCGAAATCTCACCAAAGAGATTTAACTTAAATTACAACCATTAGAATAATTTCAATAATTTTAATAAATTAGGTGACACTCGAAATCTCACCAAAGAGATTTAACTTAAATTACAACCATTAGAATAATTTCAATAATTTTAATAAATTAGGTGACACTCGAAAATTTACAAAATTGGACTAGCATAATATTAAAG